TGGGCATCTCAGGGACCATTCTCAGACGGAAATGAGCGTCTGGCAAGGATCACCCAGAGAAGACAGTCCTCTTGTTGTATTTGAATGGTACGTTCCAGATCCGGGAATGATGGGGGCAGGCTGTGGCCTGGGGCAGGCTGCGGCCTGGGCCTCCAGCCTCGATGACGAGGGCCTCACGCACCAGAATCGTATCATCTCTCCTTGTGGGGAATTGAAAAGAACCCCAGAAGGTCCTGCCGGAGGGGACTGTGGAGGTCCCGGAGGCTCTGGTGCTGTGCCTACAGACACCCCGGAAGTGACCTGGCAGGACCATCCTGGGTGCCCCCCGGGAGTGGGACTCTCTAGCTCAGGAAGAGGCAGCGCCTGTTAGGACTGATCAACTGCTCTGGGAGCAAACGGTCTTTCCTCGTCCTCCTGTGGGCAGAGGGGATCGGTGGTGACTCACCAGCCAAGCTGCAGCCAGGAGGATGCCGGGCTGATAATGAAGATGTGTGGGCCTCGTGGGCTTGCAGCACCCCACACCTCCCCCCAGGGCCGCTTGGCCTCACGGGCTCCTCATGCTTCGGCGCTGGGTGGCCGTGGTGTCCTGTGTGGACCGGGAGAGCCAGGTTTGCCTCGGTGAGCCCCCTGCCTCAGTTTCACTGTGTCCTCCACAATCCCCTCACTGGCCTCTCCATTTCTGATAGAATTGCCTGTAGCAGCAAAGAGCTGCTTTTGCCACTGAAATGACCCCCATGGGCAGGAAAAAAGAGCCCCCCATTCCCTTTCTGCGATAATGCTAACATCCTCCCCCCATTTCCCACTTATACCCTTTAATTTCCGAACAGAAGCGGATGCATTTTTCCTAAAGACAAATGGACATTGAAAATCTATATAGTTGGAGCAGAGGACAGTGGCCCCTCACAGCAGATCATAACAGGCTGCAGGCCTTTCTCCTGGGGCGACTGTGAAATCCTATCAGAAGTGAGTGGTCTAAGGTGAGTGGGAATAGGGGGGTGGGGGAGGAGCACAGCACGCATTTTACTTCCTGTTTCCTCTTCCAAGCTTCCTTTAAGTTGATTTTAATGCAAAGCTGAAAACAGGAGCATTAAACCCAATACTTTTTACCAGGTTAGCTGTATAAATAACAGTCCACATACCTGCCATTTAATTGTCGATTGGTTGATTGATTGATTGATTGATTCATTCATGTGTTCATCAAGCATTCTTGAGCACTTCTTGCCCACACCAGGCCGGGCCCCAGCGAGAAAGCAGAGAATTGATCTCCCTCGAGCTCATTGGGGCCCATCCTCTCCAGCCCGTCTGCTCCGGTCTTTCCCTGAGATGCCGGTGGAGCCACTCACCTGCCAGACGTTAGCTCTTTAAGAGAACACGATTGCTTTTAAAGCTTCCTATCCCTTACTGGATTTCTTACAGTTTATAACTCGAGCTGACATGACTGGTGGGATGTCTGGTTTGACACATTTGCTCATATCAGGTAGGTGTGGGGGAGGCTCACAAGTTCATGGGCAAGATTAGATTTTGAAGGTGCCCAACAGCATGGAAAGATCAGGCAGTATTTAATCAACAAGTTCAACCACCACGGTTATTCCCACGAACTCTACACTCACCTCATTCGGTTCGAGTTGCATGATTGATTCTGGGTAATTAAACGCCTAATTATGAGCATCACTTGCAGATCTAATTAAGGCCCAAACACTGGCCCCATAACCATGGTCTCATTCAGGTGAGCTCTGAGGGAGCTTGGATGTCTGGGGGGGGGGGGGGCATTAGGGGTCTCCAGGTGGGGCTGGGCAGAGCGCCCCCAGGTGGGGGCTACAGGATGACCTCAGTGTGGCTGCTTGTTCCTTTAGGGGTGGGGTTTCTCTAACCATAAATATAAAGGAAAATTACACTGTCTGCTTGTAGGTTAGAAATGTGTCCTGTTCCACTGGCCCCGGGTGCCGTGTTCAACATGCACAGCCTTTCACCTGAGACCTGGTCTGACCTCTGAGCCTCGGGCCATCCGTGTTGCTTGGTGGTCCGGCCTGTGGCGGTCCCTGCAAGGACCACATGAAGCGGACATAAGCTTTATGCACGGAGCTCCTCCGCCGAAGTTCGAGGATCCCAGCAGCGGGCTGTGGAGGTAAGTCTCAGCTGCTCTGTATAGGGTTGCCCGTGGGCCTCCACACCTGCGATCAGTAACTCTTGGAAGGTTTAGAAAAAAAACGGGGGGGGGGTGGGATCTTGGTGGTAGAGGAGGCCAGTGCAGGGGGCGCCACTGCAGGAGGCTGGCTGGGACTCTGCCGCCTCCCAGGGGTCCCACTCAGGATGGATGGGCTTGTCCGAGGGGAGCGGCGATATGTAAACGGGAGAAACATTTCTGTGGCTTCCTTCCCAACCGGTAAACTGTGGTCAGCACCCCACATCCATCAGGCTGGGGGCAGCCGTGGCCATGGAGCCAGTGGGGTTTCCATAGTGCCAGGTACCGTGTACCCCGCTGCCAGCCACTTCCTCCAGGTCTGTTAGCACCCGAGGGGCACACATCAGCTACTTCACAGGCATCTCTGGGCACCGGCCAGCGGCAGAGAGAACAGGCAGGTCGGTGAGCAGCCACCGCCGCTTAACGTTTCCTCGGACCCACTGCAGCTGGCACGTCCGACGCATTTTGAATGTTTTGTAAAGTTACTTGTGAGGAAAACAGCAGAAATGACACCAGAGCTCTCACCGCCACGAGGAATCATCAGATGCTGAGAAGGCTTGGCTGCCATGTCTCGCTGCTCTGCGAGGGCCACTGTCCGCCTCCACCGCCTCGCCCTCGCACCTGTCCCTTTGTTCCTTAGCCAAGTGCAAGCGTTCCTTGTTTTCACCCTGTTCGCTGCCAGGGCTGGGACACCGTGCCAAGGCTAGATGCCTGCCATCTTTTCCTCATTTCCCTTCCTTTCTCTCAGCGGGGACGGAGGTTCGGTGTGTAATAGTGCATGTACGTGCATAAGTGTTCACACACACACACACACACATGTATACACACGTGTCCCTGTTCTCCTGCCACCACACACACACATTCTGCAGGATGACTTTCTTCTCTTACATGATTCTCTGGGGGCAGTGACCACAAACTCGAGTCCATGTATTCATGTGGCAAATGTCTGAGCCTCATGGACGTCATCAGGGGTCTTCCTAGGGTGTGCGGGGACCTGGGAAATTATTTTCTGCAGGTGCCTCGCTAAGTAAACAATGTGGGTCACCCCAAACCAGCTCTGGGCTGTTGGAGCTTTCTTGGGAGCAGCAGGGCTGGGGGCAGGCCGGGGCTAGGCTCCGCTGTGGGCGTCAGAGCCGGGGAAGGCGCAGGGCACAGAAGGGCTGGTCAGCCTGCGAGCCCCCTCGGTGGTGACTGCTCTCGTTCCCACAACTGACCGCCAAGACCAGTCCTCGGGCCCACCGCCTTCTCTCCCTGATCTCTGGCCTCCAGTCTCCAGTGTGGCCGAGCCCCACTGTTCTGCACAGACACAGACACCCCAGAGCGCCTGTGGCCCAGGCCCGCCTCGCCCCGGCCTCACCGCTGCACCTGGCAGCCCTCTCCCTGCACCTTTGTGCTCTCATGCCAACCTGCTCGTCCCACCATGCAGTCTCCATCACACTGACCCGCTGTGGGTGCTGCCTTGTTGGATCTCCGCCTGGCTCGCTGCGTTGCTCATCCATCAGGACCCAGGGCCGCCTCCTCCAGAAAGCAGGTTACAAAGGCTGCGCCTGGAGCCACCTGGGGGCTCTCCCTCCTCCTCCTCCTCCTCATGCCCACTGGTCTTGTAGAGGTCACTGCAGCCACCCTCAGGCTCGCTTTCCCCAGGTTCCCAGGCGCCTCCTGTGGCCACAGGCAGTGCAGGAGCGCCTGCTTCACAACCACCCTTTATTCGCTGGCTTTCCAGCTCGCGTGAGCTCGAGGGGGAGGGCAGCATGGTGCCTGACATCCACTGTGGGCACCATTTAAGGAGCGGAGGGAGGAGGGACGGGCAGGAGGGCAAGGGGCAGGGCAGTCCCTCTGCCAGGCCAGGCCGTGTTGTCCTTGCCCGAGGCCATGAGGAAGGCCTGGCTCTGGCAGGATGGTGGCCCGAGGGACCAGCATGAGTGGGAGGGCACCATGTGTTTTAAAAAGGAAAAGCAGGCACACAACCTGGGAGAGAATTCTTCCCAATTTATGGGTGTGAGAGTTTGGGACACGCAGCTCTCAGGAGAGGTGGGAAATCTCACAGCTCAAAAATGAATTCTGTGAGGATGGGGAGCAATACCCTGGAGTTCAGGGGGGCGTGCATGCCCAGGACATGGAACCAACCAGGCCATGCAGCTGCTCTTTGAAGGCCAGTTCTCAGAGCGGAGGCTCTTCGGCAGGTTATGTTGTCCTGAGGGGGCGCGGGTGGGGCCCACAGTCTGGGGGCACTCAGGAGTCTAGATGCAGGCGGGGCTCTGGGCGAGAGCTTAGGTGTGGGGGCCCCTCCAGCTTGACCATGAACAAGCGGGGATTGGCTCTCCCTTTGTGGGCCCAGTGCCACCCAGAAAGTTCCCAATGCCTGTCCCTAAGACAAAGGCAGGAAGAAAAGGACAGCTTCCTCCCTTGCTGTGCAGATAAGGTCAACTCGGCTCCTTATCTGTGCGTTAACGGCTCCATGCCCACCTCTCGGTGCATGGGCACCAGCCTGCGGTACGTCTGTGTCCTGCATGGACCGGCTGTTGTCTACAGTGTGACCGGCCGCCTGGGGTCCCCACCTCCCCGCATAGGCACCAGTGCCCTCGCAGCCCACAAACACAGGACAGGCACGGCCTGGCGCTCCGGGCAGCGGCCTGGCATTTAATGCTGAATTTGCGCGAGGAGCGCATCGCATCGCACTGGGCAGGCGCTCTGGGTGCGTCTGCGGGAAAGCACAGCGTCCTCGTCTCCATGTGAGCACGTTTCTCAGACACACTCCTCCACGAAGAGAAAGAGCAGGACCCACTTCTGTATAAGAATATATTATTTAAAAGGCAGTTTAAAAGTAAAAATTCTGTACAGCATCATGAATTCCTTTTTTTTTTTTTGTATCAGTGAACAAAAGGGTTCTGGTCGTGGGCGCCAGGGTGTCAGGTTCAGCTTCTCCCCGAGGAGGAGTCTCACGCCGAGCGGCCGGGACCAGGCACCGCGGACGGACGTCCTCTTCCTTCAGGCGAGGTCTGCTCGGGAGGGAAACGGACGCCGGGTTCGTCTTCGTTGGGATTGAAATGCGCAGGCGATATCGCAAGTGTCACAGGATTAGACGCGCACTGTGTTTGAAAAATGAGGCCGTCGGACATATTGTTGAACATGTTCAGGGAAAATAAAACAATCTCAATCCCTTTTCTGAGCCATTCAAAAAATACGATCTGACTTCAAAATTGAAAGCCAGCCCGGCTGGCGTGGCTCAGTGATTGAGCATCCATCTATGAACCAGGAGGTCACAGTTCGATTCCCAGTCAGGGCACATGCTCAGGCTGCGGGCTTGATCCCGTGTGGGGTGTGCGGGAGGCAGCCGATCAATGGTTCTCTCTCATCATTGATGCTTCTCTCTCTCCCTCTCTGAAATCAATAAAAATATATTAAAAAAAGAAAAAGGAAAAGAAAAGAAAGCCAGCATTTACGGAGTGCTTCCTATGGACCAGCCCTCTGCTTGGTTAACTGCTAAAACCACAACATGATGGTAATTTAGAGACTCTGGCCCTGAGGCTCAGAGGTTGAGTCTCCAGTGCAAAGCTTGGCCCCAAGGCTTGCTTTGCTGGCTGCTGGATGCCGGGACCTCTGTTCCTCTAATAAAACCAAACCTAGTTTCTCATGCCGGCACCTTGCTGCTTTATAAACCGAAACTCCCTCAAAGGATCCATCAGCCACCTCTGTGGTGTGTCCTCATTATTCAGGCCGAATGGCTGGTGTGCCTTCTGCATGGACTGAGGGAATGGCTGATGCCAACAAGTGCTCGGGGAGGTGACCACAGTCATGCTAACAAATATTTTTCTTTGTGAAAAGCTTGAAAAAAGTGTTTTCTCTTAGGAGTGGCACACATGCTAATTACTAACCTTTTTCTATCAACTAAAGCAGGGGTCCTCAACCTTTTTAAACAGGGGGCCAGTTCACTGTCCCTCAGACCGTTGGAGGGCCGGACTATAGTTTAAAAAAAACACTATGAACAAATTCCTATGCACACTGCACATATCTTATTTTGAAGTAAAAAAACAAAACGGGAACAAATATAATATTTGTATTTGCATGTGGCCCGCGGGCCGTAGTTTGAGGACCCCTGAACTAAAGCATGCCCCCTCCTTCAGAGCCTGATTCTAATTATTCTGAGCAAGGCATACACGTTTTACTTATTTTAAAAATATTTGTATCAGATTCTCCTCCTCCTCCCTCCTCCTGATGGAAGGTCTGTAACTATCTATATATATAAAAGGCTAAGTGACCATCCTACCATCTGACCCCTCCCCAGGTTCCAATCCAGCTCCGTTGTGTTGGGAACTGCTGGGAATCAGTGCACAACAGCATTACCTTCGCTTGGCTTCCCATCTCTGCTTTTCTCCCTCGACTTGTCGGTGCCCCCGCCTGCCCGGCTCTCCGTCTTCCTCTGTAACCAGGACAGAGACAGAGAAGTCAGGCTCGGGGACCCCGAGGGGTGGCTGCTCGTCTGCTCTGGAGCTCCCTGTTGACTGCAGATGCTAAAACGTGAAGCTGAGACAAACGTCTGCAACCTTGTGGTGCCAAACACACACGTGTGAGCTTTTCAGACACAGCTCGGTGCACGGGCCACCTTCCCTGCTACGGGAGGCCTCACCCGGTGCGGCCACTGCCTGCCGCCTGGACGGTGAGCTCACACTGGCTGCAGTGCACACAGCCCCGTGGACTGTGGAGTCCACATCCCTTTCACCTCCTTTCGGGTTTGTCCCACTGGGCGGCCGGGGCTGGGACTTGGAGACTCAAGGCCTCCATTGAGATGACGTGTGGATGGCCCCGGAGAGTCAGGCTCTGTAGCTCTCTTGCAGGGGGTCTGGGCAGGGGGGCACCTCTTCTTATATCCGTCCTCTGTATCATCTGCTCTTAGCTTCTGGAGTTTCAGCACCTGCCTGTGACCTGCTAGAATCTAACTAGAGCAGTGATGGCGAACCTTTTGAGCTCGGCGTGCCAGCATTTTGAAAAACCCTAACTTAACTCTGGTGCCGTGTCACATATAGAAATTTTTTGATCTTTGCAACCATAGTAAAACAAAGACTTATATTTTTGATATTTATTTTATATATTTAAATGCCATTTAACAAAGAAAAATCAACCAAAAACATGAGTTTGCGTGTCACCTCTGACACGCGTGTCATAGGTTCGCCGTCACTGAACTAGAGAGATGGAGTTGGCTGGTCTGCGGGCTTGGAGGTATTTATTGAGCACCTACTATACGTCCAGCATTGCACCAAGGAGGCTGAGAGAGACAAGAGCAACACAGGACGAGCCTCAGCAGGGCGTGGCGGGAGTTCCCAGTGGCAGAGGCAGGTGGAGGCACCGTGATGGGGAGGCCCTGGCTGAGGTGAGCAGTGAAGAAGACATGGTGCAGAGCCAGGCGGGGGGCACTGCCAGGCGGGGGGCACTGCTGGGCTGGGATGGGGTGAGGTCAGCCACAGCCACATGGGCCCAAAGTATGAAGCAGCAGGGAGACTGCTCCAGCTGCACTGGGCCCCTGGAGAGAAGGGAGGCCACACCTGGGGTGGCTGGAGGTCAGGTGAGAAGGTCACTGGGTGGTCCCAAGAGGCAGGGGGCCCTGACACAGAGATGCGCACACCCCGGGGTCCTGACGTGGCCAGACTAACTTGGGGGGCTTCGGAGGAAACCTCGACCCCAGCTCTGAGCCTGTGAACTGGACCTCCCCTGAAAACTATCAATCCCCAAGCGCCCTAAAGCCAGGCCCGGTCTGTCTCCCTGGCCCCTGGGAGGGGCCGAGCTGCCCCGTGTGAGTCTGTGGCCTAGAGCCAGGACGGGACGTGGTGGCGGCTTTTCCCAGGCCAGGGGGAGCCTCTCAGTGAACAAGGTCAGCGCAGGGGCAGGGGGAGGAGAGGGAGGATGTGGGCCGGGCGCTGCTGGGGGAGGGAGATGCCGTGGACGCTGACCCTCGTCACCTCACAGCGGGCAGCACTGTCATGTGACCTCCAACCACGTTAGATCCCCTGAAGTGGTCAGCCTGTCTCTCTCTCCTTTGGGTGGGAACGAGCGCCCGTCCAGAGGGGCCGCCTTGTGGTGCCAGCAGTGCGGACGGAGCCCGCGTCACCCGCTGTCCCGCGGGGCCCTACCTCCGTCATGGCGTCGTCCATCTGCTTCAGTTCCTCGTAGCGGTCTCTGGATTCCCACAGGGGCTGTAGCATGCTTTCCTCAACCGCAGGGAAGAGCTGGAGGGGGACACACTCGGTCAACCGTCTGCCGCTGAGGCGACGGAAAGCGTTTGGGACAAGGGCAGGTCGTGTGTCTCAGTGGCTTTGGTCAATGGGTCGCATGGGGAATCCGCATCCGTCCATGGGGTGTGGTTGGAGCCCCTGGGGTGCGGCCTGAGCCCCCGGGGTGCGGCCTCTACGGCATCCAAGGTGACCGAGGCTCTGACACTGTCCGGTCAATGGTTCCTGGAGCCCCTCACGCCTGCCACCTGCCCACCTGGTTCCATGGTCCCCGCTGTCTCTTGCTTCTCACAGGGACCTGGTAGAAGCCACTCCCTCCCCACCCCTCCCCTCCTGTGTCCCCCTGCCCCCCAACTGTCCACACTGCACTTTCTCATCTTCCAAAGCCAACTTCACCCACTCGGCCCCTGACAGCCCCAGAGCCTGGAGGGACTCGCTCACGCCTGCCCTCCAGCCTGAGCGGCTCTGTCCTCCAGTCTGTCCGCCTGTCGGACATTCACTGAGACTCAGCACAGGATGCCCCTCCCCCCGGGGCCCTGTGCACACAGCTATCCTCCCAGGAAGGTCACACTCCGCCCTACTGCAGGGGAGGGTGGGCCCGTGGTCACGCCACTGCAGCCGGGACCAGCTCTGCTCGTCCGCTGTGAAGGCGCAGTGTGTGGAGAGAAAGCTGTGAGCAAGAAGGCAGCTCCCGAGAAGCAACAGTGCCCGGGGCTTAAGGAAGGAGCGCTGAGCAGGTTCTGGAAGACGAGGGAGCAGCATGTGAGGCTGGGGGCCCAGGGGAGGGAAGGATGCACTGGTGGTAAAGGTTGGAAGAAAGGCCAGGACCAGGAGCTGCGGGCCTTCCTGCCAGACAGAGGTGCTACAGAGGACAGGGGACCATGGGCCTGTGTTGGGGCAGTGGGGAGCCATGGAGGGTTCAGGAGAGAGGTGGAGACCTCCTTCCTGAAGGTTAACCTGGTGACAGCCGTGTGCTGGGTGGAGTGAGCGAGATGGAGATGGGACCGCTTAGGAGGTTCTTCCGAAGGTGACGGTGAGAGGAGCTGACACAGGCTCCTCTGGTGCCCGGCGAGCGGAGGGCCACTTGGAGGAGGTCTCCGTGGGGACTAGCAGGCTGGCCGTGGTGGCGCAGGAAGGGGAAGCCGGGAGGTTCTGTGGGTGTGCTGTGGGGAGCAGGAGGCGGGAGGGCAAGTGGGAAGGTGGGGGGGAGAGTGTTGGGCGTGTTGGTGTTTAGGTGGAGGGGGACTTCAGGTGGGGTGTCCGGCGGGCAGTTACAGTTCACATGCATGTGTGTGAGCATGTGGGCGAGTGTGTGAGCGAGTGTGTGAGCGTGTAGGTGAGTGTGTCAGCGTGCATGCACAGCGTGTGCATTGTGTGTGAGCGTGTAGGTGAGTGTGTCAGCGTGCGTGCACAGCGTGTGCATGTGTGTGCACGGCTGTGCACTCCCGTGTTTCTCACTGTCTGTCGTGTCGCCCCGGGTGCAGTGATGGTCACTCACCTTGGTCACCGTTTCAAACATGGGGATCAGGACGAACTTGATGAACCCAATCTGGGCCGTGGCTTTGGTCACTTTGTCCCGGTCCATGAAAGGGGCCACGGGAAGGCCTTCCGACTTCTCTCGGTCGCTCTGGGGAGTGCAGCAGACGCAACGTTAAAGAAACAGTCAGGGAACTTGGGGGGCTCTGGGGATCACTGTTCTTCGAGGAGGAGAAATATGAGCTAATATGCCGCAGCCAGCCCAACCGCGGCGCGTTATGTAAATCAGTAATAACAATTACCAATTGTTTGAAAAGATGGTGCTATTCTGAGTGCTACATCGGGTGTGCAGGGCCGTGCAGGGCCGTGCGGTGAGGACTGAGGGGAGGGCACAGGCGGAGGCCAATGAAGTGGGTCACAAGAATGCGCCGTCCTAGAAGTAGCTTGTGGACACCCCTCCGGCTCATCAGAGCTTCCCCGGCCGCCCCGGGGGCCCTTCCTGTCTCTGCAGTTCTTGACCTTCAGGCCTGACATGTGAGCCCCTCAGAGCGGCTCGCTTAGTGGTGACAGGCGGCAGTTTCACAGCATTAGCTTTCCCAGGCAGCCACGGCCGCTCAGGTCTGAAATGACAGCCTCGCTCCCGTTGGCTGTGCGCCTGCTGTGAAGGCTTTCTGGGGGCGCGAGGCACTTCTGCCGACCCGCCTGTGTCCACTGTGACCCACCTGCCACGATTCAAACTGGGCCTCACGTAAGGGGCCAAGCAGAGCGCCCGGAGGCGTGACTGCTGTGCATGAAATATTCCCGTAAAATACTCTTACCTGCATGAAGTATTCTTCTAATAAGCAGTCCACCCAAGGCTCTGCGACTTCCATCGGACGCACCTCGTTAGAGATATCACAGCATTTTATCAAAATCATCTTCAGCTGCAAGAGGAGGCTTGGGGTCAGCAATGGCGCGCAGACCGGAACCCACGCTGTTTGGGCTGGACTTGCCCCCCAGGAGCGGGCGGGGCTGTGGACGGGGCTGAGCTCTGCTGCCCCTCCATGGCTCAGCCAGGGCGCCTGTGGTGGGGGCCCTGGCGGTCTGCATCTCGACCCTCAGCCTCAACTGGGGAGAATGAGGGGCGTCACTGCACCCCCATAGGATCAGAATGTTTTTCTTTCTTTTTTTTAAAATCCTCACCCAAGGATATTTTTCCATTGATTTTTAGAGAAAGTGGGAGAGGGAAAGACAGAAATGTCGAGGTGAGAGAAACACATCGATTGGTTGCCTCCTGCATGTGCCCTGACCAGGGCCTGGGCCAGGGAGTAGCCTGCTACTGAGGTACGTGCCCTCGACGGGACTCGAACCTGGGACTCTTCGTCCGCAAGTTGATGCTCTATCCACTGAGCCACACCGGCTAGGGCTCAGAATGCTTTCTCGGCGGGACCTCGAGTGGTAGAACAGCCCATTTAACACGAGGACCTTCTGTCATATGAATATACATTATGAAGTTCTTGATTATTGAAGAGACAGGAAAAAGTGTAGAGAGGCATCATTAGTGATGAATAATGGAGCCACTACAGTCAAGCTGCTAAATTATTAAAGTCACATTGCCTAAGGCAGGAGGAGATGATTCTAGTCTTGTTCTAACCAGCTAGGAACTTGCACTTGAACTCTCCAGTCCCGTGTCAATGCCTGGACATACAGCAGACCTGCAGGTAATCCTCTGATTACCTCAGAAGGACTAAGAAAAGAATATTCTCGTATCCAGACGGCTGAACGTGACCAGACCTCCTGGCGTCCATCCTCCAGACCATCTGGACCAATCCGAGGGCCAAAAATGCAGACTGGTCCTTCTCCAGAATGTACACTTTGCTACAACTACTCTTAGCTTTTCTTTCTTCTCCGGGACATTTCTGGGTTTTGGCTTAGCTGTGTTTCTGGTTGACAAATCCTAAGATCCTTGAATGAATCTTGATCATTTATTTCTAGCCAAAGCTTCCAGACTCTTACTCATGTGACGATAAGAATCAGAGGTTGAAAGGGCAATAGGAGTGGATAGTGCTGGGACCCCCTCCCCACCCCCCCCCCCCCCCGTGACAAAGCGGCACATTAGAAATAATAGGGTGAAGGGGACCCTCAATGTAAAAGCAGTGAGGGCATAGCCTTGGCACCCCAACCCCTGAATAGGACAGGCAACCGCAGATTCCTCCTGTCCCCCACAGCCCAGGGTTAGCAAGACTGGCCAAATGTCAGAGGTGGCATTAGCTTCTGCCCCCTGCTCCAGGCCCGGGTCTTCCCTGTGCTAGCCGGGCTCTCTGCCTCTGAACCCGGCCAAAGCCGCCACCCTGCAGAAGCCTCCTCTCCCCCTGCGTCCTTCCAGGTCCTGCTCTGGCCCCTCTCTCCAGCCTTCCTGGCCACCCCAGCCCCCGATTTCAGCCCCCACAGCGCCGCCCTGTGCCCGGCCACATCTTGTTTGTGCTGTTCCCTAGCTGGATGCCTGTCTGGTCCTCCCAGGACACCTGACTCCCTCCGAGCCTGGTGAGGCTGGACATGCATTTGGTCCCTCGAATGGAGGCTCGCCAGGCCCAAGGATTCAGCCAGAGCGTTTCCACCTGACCCAGCCACGTGAGTGCCTTTGGGACCGGCTGCAGCACCAATGACTTGCTCCAGGCCCAGCGACTGTCACCTGGAATTGCCAGTGTTTGAGGTCAGTGGTGGCTGCCACTCAGAGTCTGGTGCGGGTCCACCCGGGCTGTGGGCCCCGAATCTGCCTGGGCTGCTCTTTCAGGAGGGGGGCCTTGGGGAACCTGACTTGGCTCAACTTCAGCTGAACCTCCAGGTGAGCGCTGCCCTTCAGTCCTTCCCTCGTCGCCCTGCCCCATGGCTTCCTGGGAACCGATCCAGGCCTTTCTCGTCTCCTGTGTGAGGAGGTGAGCTGTAGGCCACAGGCAATAGGGCTCTGCCTGGCAGGCCTTGGGGGGACGCTGCCCCTGACACCAGGCTGGGGCCAGCAGGGCACGACCGTCCTAAGGGGAGCTGAATCAAGGCTTCAGGCCTGGGCCACCGGGTCCCCAAGTTGCCCTCCGAAAGGCTGGGTTCAGCATGTTTTCCGGGGCTGTCCTTTGTGGGAGAGCCAACTTTATTCTCAGGAAACCAGAGCAAGATGGTTCGCCTTCACCCGCTTACTATCCTCACACAAGAATGAGGGGAGCGTGCAAAAACGCTGCCCGGAGCCACGATGGAGCTTTACTGGGGAGGTTCCCAGCAGGCGGCCTTCCCGGTGAGACTGGGACCTTTGAAAACCAGCTTTATCGGCACCTCCCCCCAAGGCAACTAGGAGTTGTGGTTTCTCGGTTTCTGGTCTGAGCTGGAGGAAGGACTCCCTCACCAGCTCCCCCCGCCCACCTCCCACCAAGAGGTGAAACTCACCAGGGTCATGTGCTCCTCGTTGCTGTAGTCGAAGTTCTCCATCTTCTCTTTGAAGGAATCCATGATCTCTGCGTGCCTGGCCATGTCAGTGGCCAAGATTAATGTGATCATGCCCTGAAGAGCAAAAGAGCAAAGCATGAACACCGGGCAAATCCCAAGGATTCCCCATTGAGCGCCGACTGTGTGCTGAGCCCTCTGCACACACCATGTCATTTACCCTGTGTGTGTGTCTAGGAATCACTGTCCTCATTTTCATTTTATTCGTTATTATTATTTTTGTTAATCCTCACCTGAGGATATTTTTCCATTAATTTTTAGAGAGTGGAAGAGAGAGGGAAAGGCAGAGAGGAACATTGATGTGAGAGAAACTCATTGATTGGTTGCCTCCTGCACGAGCCCCATCAGGGCCTGGGAACTTGCAACCGCGGTACCAGCCCTTGACCTGCATCGAACCCCAGACCCTTTGGTCCACAGGCCTACGCTTTATCCACTGAGCCAAAACAGCTGGGGTGCTGTGTTCATTTTTAGATACAGAAGCTGACACTTGACGAGGCCGAGGGCCCTGCCCAGGCTGCAGGGGGAGGGTGGAAGCCTGGCGTTCAGGCCCAGGTGAGCCTGACCCCTCCCCTGTGCTGTGTCTGCGAAGCAGCAGCAGCCACACCAGGTCTCCCAGGACAATGTCCTTATGGATGGCGGCTTAGCCACGGACAAAGGCTTCCCCGCGGTTTAGTCATCTAGGCCTGTGGTGTGTGCCTTCCAGATCTTGTTGGAGGTCAATGACCGATTTTCCAAGGGTATTTTTCCCCTGTTATCTAATCTGTATGTGATGACATGTGTACCTACTGCTTGGGAGTGATCAAAGTCTGACTATGTACAATGGCATTCTTCTATGGACGAATTTGTAAATGAGGACGCAATGAGTTTTTAATATAAATAATCCATTACCTTACTAATCAGATGTTGGCTTAAAAGTAGCATAATTCAAAACCATGACCATCTGACCATCCATCCATCCATCCATCCACCCATCCATCCATGCAATCCACTCATCCACCCATCAATTTACCCATCTAACTTGTCCATCTGTCTGTCCGTTGTTCTGTAGATCCATCCATCCATCCACCTACCCACAAGCATTTACAAACACACCGCTGTGCTGAGCATGGTGTTCTACTTTTTCAAAAAAATGAAACCACAATCATCAAATGCAGAGCTCAAGTCACCCAACATAGATCATCTCAGATGTGTTTGGAGGATGGGGCACGACTGACGTTCTGAATGGTGCCTTTTCCCTGTGAAGATTTAATTGTGTAGTAGGGAAGGACCTATGCCATGAGGAGTTAGCCCTCAAAATATTCAATGACAAAATGTTATTAAAATCAGGACAACTGCCTGGCTGGCGTGGCTCAGCAGTTGAGTGTCGACCTACAAATCAGGAGGTCACTGTTCAATTCCCAGTCAGGACATATGCCTGGGTTTTGGGCTTGATCCCCAGTAGGGGGCGTGCAGGAGGCAGCTGATCAATGATTCCCTCTCATCATTGATGTTTCTATTATTCTCTCCATTTCTTTCCTCTCTGAAATCAATAAAAATATTTTTAAAAATTGGGACAGCTGATTTTATTCTCAGAAAAAGTCTCGTTTGAACATGAAGCGTTTGAGGTAGGACAACCCTCAGCAGCAGCAGCCACACCAGGTCTCCCAGGACAAAGGCTTCCCCGCGGTTTAGTCATCTAGGCCTGTGGTGTGTGGCTTCCAGATCTTGTTGGAGGTCAATGACCGATTTTCAATGACCTTGTGTGCCCCATGGCGGACACGAGGAAGATCTGGGCTGTGGGGTCAGCCGCTCCTCCAGCCAGGCACTTCCTTCCCAGGGTCGCTGGGTCTGCCATGGAGGGGCGTTCAGGTGCTCGGATTCTCCAGGTCGTATGCATTCCAGGTCGCTGGGCAGCCGTCAGGGGCAGCAGCCAATGCAGTGCTGTCTCCAGGACTTGCTCTTTACCCGCTTCGGAGAAAGGTTCCCTCGGGCTCTTCAGAACAGCACGTGGCACTTGCTTGCCCGGTGGTTCCATAAACATGGAGGGAGGCAGAAGCTTGGGCTTGAGGAGGGACTGTGCCGGGAACCGGTGATTCAGCGAGGACAGTAAGCACCGCATTTAGCTCTGAACTTCCTGGAAGCAGGGCCAGTGGGGAAACGTGGTTTATGAAGCTGTTTTCCGACCGAGCGAAGCTTATCAGGAGGGAGGGTTCCCAGCTCTGGATTCTAGACCCTTTATCAGGCGCATCTTCAGGGAAGGCCACGAAGCCATCTCACGGGTGCGGTTTTCATCCATGGACTGTCAGGGCGTGGCTCCTCCAGACGCGGATCTTGGCTCCTGTGCAGTGCCCCAGGCTGCCATCCACATGGACCCGGGGACGCAGAGGACCACAAAGATGTTGTCTCAGGGTTCTGGAGGCCAGAAGCCTGAATCCAAGGTGTCGGAGGGCCCTCCTCCCTCCCAGGGCTCCAGGGCAGGGTCCCCTGCTTCTTCCAGCTGCTGGTGGCCCAGCATTCCTTGGCTTGTGTCCACATCACTCCAGTCTCTGCCTCTGTCATCTCATGGCCTTGTCGTCCGTGTATCTGTGTCTTCTCCTCTTCGGTCTCTTGTAGAGACACTTGTCGTTGGATTTAGGGCCCACCTGGCTAGCCCACGCTAGTCTTACCTGGCGACCCTAACAATGCAGCTGTGAAGACCCTTTTTCCAAGTAAGGGTACCTTCACAAGGCCGAGGGTCAGGAGGTAGACATACATTTTGTTTTTGTTTTTTTTGGCAGGGGTGCGGCTACCATTCAACCTACTACATTCCTCCAAAGGTCGCCCTGATGTCCTCCCTCCCCTGCAAACGTCAGAGGGTGGAGCACAGAGTCGCGCTCGCTCGGTGGGACCTCTTGGGCGAGGGCTGTCATTTGTGGTGAGTGGAAGTGTCTGTCTCAGGACAGGGGGCGCTCTCAGCCTCCTCCCAAAGCGCCCCGAGAAGTGGTCAAGTCTCTTAGCTGAAGTGGGCAGTGGGCAGACTGGGTCATGGGGTGGCAGGGGACAGTGGTCAGGGCCCTGCTAGGTTGGATGTGGCAGGTGTGTCTGTCCAGGGTCTGCTGTGCACTCCCTGTGCTCCCTGGGCAGGTTACCCAGCGTCTGTGGGCCTCACTCCCTGTGTGGCAATGGAGAAAGGGCGTATCTCCAAGGATAAGTTCAACCCCGGGTGTGAACTGCCGTCAGTGGACTCCCAGGTACGCAGGCCAGGGGCGTGCACCTCTTCCTGGGTGCTCTGTGGCCTTGGAGGCGGGGGGAAGGGAGGCCCGCTCCCCAGGGTCCCTGTGGGCGCTGCTGTGACCAGGAGCCTCAGCCCGGAGAAGGGGTTCTCTGTGGTCGTGCTGGCTGTCTCCCCCCAAACTCCCCCTCACCCTGCAGGCAGCGTGCCCCCACCCCCGCACACCTGTCGGATCTGCTTGAACCCGTCGGGCTGCACGTTGGAGAAGATGTTGCACTCCGGCTGGGCGAGGATCTGGAAGGCCACGGCGCAGTGGTGGTTCTCCAGGGGCGAGATGTCGTTGTAGCGCACGGCCAGCTCGGTGCGGGCGTTGATCTGGTACCTGGAATTGGGGGCGAGGGGACAGGAGCCTCAGGAGCCCGCACTCGGAGGCGCCTGTGTGTCAGGGCAACACGCCGAGGGGTACAGTGCTGCCCGTAGGGGCTGGGGGGCAGTTGTGAAGGGGCTGGTGAAGGCGGCTGCACTCCGCCCGTGCCAGGAACTCACTTCTGGCTCCCTGACTCTCTGCTGCCCCTTGACTGAGATGATCCCAGGTTTTTACAGTCCTGCCAGGTGGACAGCACCCAGAAGTCTCCATTTCTCTGTACGGTGCCCTGAAGGCGCCCGGGCCTTTCGGGATGGCACCTTGCAGACATTTCAATATGTGCAAAAGGCAGGCATTTGGGAGAAGAGTCGGATGCTGTGGTCCAGGCCCTGTGCTGGCCCGTCGCCGAGGGTGGGCACTGAGGGAGTGGGTGCCCACGGGCTCCCATGCCTTAGAGTCCATGGTCCTGACCACGGCAGCGAGGTTCTCGGGCACATTTGAGCTCATTGTGCGTAAAATAAGACTCGGTGCACAGATACACACGTCTGATAGAAAGAAGCCATGCGTCACTGTGAACGCAAACCAATGCCACGCGGTCGGGACTGCGGCGGTCAGGTGGGTGGGACTCTGTGCCTTTGCTTCCAAGAGGTGGGAACGGATCAATGTTCCAGCAAAGCCCCACGGCCCACCGTGGACCCCTCCACTCCCGCTCACCCACCCTCCTCTCGCTGTCCTAGCCCTGGCACGGTCCCTGTGGGAACAGGGTGGGGAGGCGGCCGTGGGGGGCGTGGGATCCAGAGTGAGATCCCTGTCCGTGTGGGCATCAGGCCCTGCTTCAGGTACCGCCAGGGCTCAGGCCTGTGCAGAGGCACAGCCTGGAGCCAGGACCACAGAGGGTGTGGCAGCCTCGTAGGGTTTGGCAACCTTGAAGGGTCTGCCCAGGGAGGCCCAAGGCCTTGGACAAAGTTCCAAAGTGGGGAGCTGTGTCCCATGGAGGTGGTGCTGGGGGGGTCAGAGGCCTCTGCTGATGTTCCGATTTGGGGCTGGTCTGAGTATTGAGCTGAACCGAGTGCCCTTTAAAACGAAAAGTCACCGTGCACGCACGTGTTGTTGTATCCTGGGTGGTCCAGATCGTGGCAGATGGCTGCGGTCATTAGGATCAAGATATCCATTTGGGAAAACTTCTCCTGGATTAGAGAGGAGGGGGATGGGGTGAGGAGGGGGGGGAGGGGGGTGGGAAACGAGTGATAAGGGCAGGATGAAGCCCCCTCCAGCCGCTGGCCTGGTGGGAGAGGACCCGCCCCCTCTCTGGGGTGGGGTGAGGGGGGCCCACTTGCTCAGTGACTCAGAAGCGCCTCGCCTAGGAGGGCGATGACACTGATGGGCTGGGTGGGTTCCCTGGAGGCTGTCTGTCCCCTCTGGGTGGGGGTGCGTGCCTGCCATCCCCTGGAGGGGCTCCCCCAGACCCACCTGGAGCCCGCAGAGCCAGATCATGCTGTACATCATCTGGGCCACGCAGAAGCAGTGCCGGAAGTTGTGGAAAGGGTTGTTCCTGTAGTTGTCGTGCACGCAGAGCTGCGGGAGACGAGGGTCTGACCGCCCGCGCTGTGCCCACCGCCCTCTCCAGCTCCCTCGCTAGCCGTCCCAGATGCTCCCTGCCCCGCCCTCGTCTGACCCCGAGGCCAACAGTGCTCCTGTGCGTACAGGTGAGGATGGGTGGCCCGGAGGGCAGGTGTGGGGACAGACCTCCAGCTTTCACCGTGGGCTCCTAGACTCAGGGTGTCTGAGCAGCCACACTGGGACATGGACATTCCTCTGTGTCCAGGGCCGAGCCAGGGGGACTACCGGGGTCCCAGTGACTGTCTGACCTTTAATATTTGGTTCTGAGCAGTATTTTATTTTTAAAAAGTCCTGCTAAACACACACTCATACATGCCATTCACACATGCACACACTCACACACATACTACTCACACCCACAGCCACACATGTACAAATGCACACACATGCACATTTACACAGGCACACCCTCACAGACATACTCACATACACATATACCTACATACACATACACTCACACATGCACACTCACACACACATGCGCACACACAATACTTACACAAGCATATTCACACACATACATACACTGACACATGAACACACATGAACACACTCATGCTCACTCACATGGTCCTACTCAAAGACACTCATAACATTCTCACACATACTCATACACATGCAAACACTTGTACATGTACATACGCATGTCTACTTTCCTCACAAACATGCACACACTCAGACACTTTCACACACTCATACACACTTGTGCACACGTGCATACACACACACACACACACACACACACGCCCCTGCTTTAGCACACGTGGCTGCACTGGTCTGCCCTGTCCTCACCATTTTCTCACTTCCTGGAGCAGGAGCGCAGGGGTGGAGTGTGTGGTGGGGGCACAGACCGGTGGAATGTCCTGGCAGAACTCTCATGAGCGCCCAGGGCCACCAAGACGGTGCCCGGATGGCCACTCCTATGTAACTGGATGAAACTGTGTTCAAGAGGGACTGCAGGGGCTGCCACTTACCAGCCACCTCTTGAGCGTGATGGGGTTGATGCTGAAGTCTCTGACCAGGCAGAGGTCGTGGTACATGTGCTCCAAGCAGCTCAGCATCTGCGGGCACAGGAAGAGCAAAGGGTGGTCAACAGCACGCGGGCCGCCCGGCCCTACCGTCCCGGGAGAGGCCCGCAGGGCAAGCCGGGCAGCTTCTCCAGGCCCGTCCCCAGCAGAGAGCCCTCCCTGGCCCAGGTCCCCCGAGAGTGAAGCCTGTTGACTGGGGGTTCAGCATCCCGCAGAAGGGATGGGGGTTTGAAAGAGCAGTCGGTGTTCAGAAGTCAATGGAATTCTATACAAGAAGGAACAGCAAGTGGCTGGATGAGAGGGAGTGTGCTGCGCCCAAAGGACCACATCAGAGATGATTTCATTTATTTCCACTCACAAGGCACAATCTCAGAGGGTCAACCTGGCAGTCGGATGCTCCGGGACTCGGCTCCATCTAACTCAGACCTGAGAGCCGTGCCCCAGAGAAAGGCCCTTCACTCGCCTCAGGCCTGAGCCAGAGGGTAAAGGGGCCAACAACTTCCATCCCCAACACCCTCATTGTGCCCCCTGGGGCCCTAGAGCCACTTATTAATGTGTTAAATTTAGTCCAGAAGGTGAGTGCATTCTGGGTAAGCGCCCTCCCCTCCCTGCAACCTTACTTCACTGTCTTCTAAAAAAAAAGAAAAAATCCTGCTCACGTTGAAATAGATTTTGTTTTCAGTCCCAAAGAGGATTTACTGTCACTGTTATCATCTATTTAAATATCGCTCAGAGCTCTGGAGCTAATTAAGCGAGGGAAGACAGATTAAATTATTTTTAATAAATGAAAGTTTGACAAAGTGGGCTTTGCCTTCTGGGAAAGCAGGTCTTGGATGGGAAGCCCAGGGAGACAGACCTGCAAAGCAGGGGCAGTGAAGATGTCACCGGGGGTGGGGGTGGGGGTGCAGAGCTGACACCGGCCAGCGCCTCTCTGCCCAGGGCCACACGCCTGTGCCCTGCCTCTGTCACATCCTCCAGCTGCCTGGTGCCTGGGCAGGCATGGCAGGCCCTCCAGACTGAGGACTGCAGCCCTGACACCCCTTGCCCCACCCACCAGCCCATGCGCCGCTCCAGGCAACCCCCGCGAGCTGCATGAAATGATCGGCAGACGAAACCATCTGGTGCCATGTCTGAGGCACGTGTGGTGTCTGGAGCAGGAGTTATGTGGCCATGCATCTGTCTCCAAGCTGGTGGTAGGTCCTGGTCGGACAGCTGGGCGGTGGGGAGTGTGGAGGACTCAGGAGGTGACCAGGAGGCCCAGCCTGTGAGCCCCGTGCTCAGTAGAGGCGGCCACGCTGCGCTTCCCGGCCCCCCGGGAGCTCTGACAGCAGCTGCAAGGTCATGGGGGCAGCAGCAGTGTGAGGTCATGGACTCCTGGTCTGTGATGGGGGAACGCTGGGCTGGACCTGGGGGATGCTGGGCACAGCATCTCTCCTGCTCGAAGGGAGAGAGGTGAACCATCGCCACTGGGGGCTCTGACGTGCTCAGGGTGCGAGGTGCTTTGTGGGTGGCCAGATGCAGTTTCTCGAGGGCCAGGTGGGATTTCTAAGTTTTCAGTTGTGACTCTTCAGTTGATCATCTTTGCCGCCCATGGTCCAAAATTCATTGCACCCCCAGATTTGCCAGAGGCCCGGGGTCCAGTCTTTGGGCACCTCTGGTTGTCACCATAGGCAGCGGGAAGAACCAGGCCCCTCACAAGTCTCTGAACCACTGAGATGTGCTGGCAGGAGCCCCAGGCCAGCAGGTGGCCACACAGAGGCCGAGCTCACCACAGGGAGCTGTCTAGTTCCTCTCACGCTGGCCCTGCATGTACACTCCACATGTACATACACCCCACGTGTTGTAGGACAGGGAGGCGGCCTTCCCATCATGGATGCGTGAATCCTTCACCTCTCAATGTGAGGCCCGTTCTCTCTGGCCACATCACCCTGTGCTCAGAGGAGACAGAAATGGCAGCGATGCCCACACAGGTGCCTTGCCATCAGGGGCCAGGCTCCCCTCTTGCTCCTCGTGGCTGAGGACAAATGACTCCAGGGACCGTGCTTTTTCTCGGTCTCTATAGTGGTGCTTGTCCACCTGCCGGAAGCAGGGACCTGCACGGTTTGGGCCATTGAGACGGTCACACCTCTCGTTTCTCCAGGCCACGTGGCCTCCCGCGCCCGATCCATTTCTCACGGTGCACTGATCTGGCAGGTGATGGCCGCTCCCCTAAAATGCCTCCTGCTCCTTCATATCCACGCTCCTGGCCTGGACGTTGTGGAGCACGTGCGCCATCTGGCCCAGTGTTTTCTACGGGACCATCCCTGGCACACAGGGGGCTCCCCTCAGGCTGGCTGCGGCGGGAGGAGGCGGAATCTCGGGTTTCTGGTCAGTGCTGCCGCGGCTTCCCCTTTTCTGGGGGAGCAGGAATGAGAGCACAAGCAGGGTTCACTCGGGGGACCCCAGCGCCCTGGGAGTGGGCCAGCGCTGGTGAACTTCCCTTTCCTGCCGTCGCAGAGATGTGGCTGCTGCCGCTCTCGTCCAGGCGGGCAGCTTGCTGGGGGCAGCCTTTCTGCGTCTCCGCTACTGCAAAGCTGGGAAGAGTCCGTAGATTTTGGGGGCCTGATGTCTGTGATGAGGGACTTTCTGTGTTTTTGAGGTTCAGAAGAGACGGGTATGACTGATATGATTTGGTAACTAGACCAAACAAAGAAAACCTCATTTTTTGGTGTTGTCTCAGCAAAAGGGAAAGTAAAAAAAAATCTTGCCAAGTGCCTCGCCTCCCAGGTCCTGTACGTGTGCCCGTCTGGGGGCCGGCTGCGCCTTTCCCCATAGAAGCTGCTCTTGGGGGGGGGGTGTATCTCCACAGTGTGGGGGGTCTGTGGGCAGCAGCTGGCAGCTGAGAGGGTGTTTGTGGGGTCAGTACAGGGCCCCTGGGGACTCTCGACGATGATGCTCCCTGGGGTGAGCACCTGCAGCCAGCATCCCAGGGTTCGAGCCCCTGCACTTGAATGCCTGCTCCTCTGTCTGACACCCCCTTCCTGAGTTCTGTCTCCAGGATCCCCCCTGAGCCAATCAAGAGTCAGTTTAACTAAAATCTGGAGAATCAAGTGAAAAAAGCAACAAAAAGAACAGAGAGGAGAAAGGCCAGGGGGAGAGTGACGGGGATGCTTCCGTCATGTCCCGAGACGCCGGTCCCGGGGGCTCCCTCACTCACCTCGTTGGGCTCCCAGAGCCAGACGTCGAAGGTCGGCTTGCGCAGGCCCTCTATGGTCTCTGGCGAGAGCAGGTACTGGAAAGGACAGGAGGGCGTTAGCCTCTGGGCTGAGCCACGGCCGTCACCTCTGGGGGACGGGGACGTTTCCTCTGTCCCGCAAGGACACCCGTGTACAGGCTTGCAGGCTACATTCTGCAAGAATTCTGGCGGCGGGCAAACTCCAGGGACGGGAATCCCACCCCGAGGCCGGGCCAGAGCGCCGGGCATGCCCACGTGGGCGCGAGGGACCGTTCTGGGGTGACGGGGACGCTCCATCCCTTGACTGTGGTGGATGCTCCGTGACTACACAAGTTTGTCAAAATTCACCATACAATGCGACTCACTGCACGTAGGTAACATCTCAATAAACTTGATGTGAAAAAGCAAAGTGAGGTCACGGGGAAAATTGCTTGGCGTGAGTCCAAATACTGGCTCAGAAGCGGGTTTGGGTTTGCTTTTTGCGGGAGCCCATCTGGTTTAGCTGTGGGCTGAGGGCCTCCAGGACACGAGTCAGAGTTAAATCGTCACAGGAAACAGGACTGCGATTTTAGACCTCAGCCAGTCATGGTGTTTTGGGATTAGATATCATGTTCCCCAAGGGTCATGGGGTTTCGGTTTATTTTTTTTTTAGGAACCGCAGTGGAGCATTGAGACCCTGTACTTTGGACCTAGGCTGGGCTTCATGACTCCCTGGGGCTGGAACATGAGAGATTTAGGTCACATTTTCCTACAGAAGAGACACCGTGGTGTCCATCTGAAAACCCTGGACAAGCCTGGTTGGTGTGGCTCAGGGGTTGAGCGTCGACCCAAGAACCAGGAGGTCACGGTTTGATTCCCAGTCAGGGCACATGCCTGGGTTGTGGGCTCCACCACCAGTAGGGGGCGTGCAGGAGGCAGCAGATCCATGATTCTTTCCCATCATGGGTGTTTCTATCTCTCTCTCCCTCTCCCTTCCTCTCTCTGAAATCAATCAAAACATATTAAAAAACAAAAACAAACAAACCACGGACAACCTGCAGGCCCCGGGCCCCTGTGAGCAAGCGGGAGCCGAATATCAGCTCAAGAGGATGCTGAAGGTCAGCTGGGCAGGGGGCTCGTTCACTCACCAGCTGAGGGCTCTGCTGAGGTGGGTGACCACCATCCTGAGACCCCCCCTCCCCAATTCCTGGGGCCCTGCTGCTTTCACAAGGGCCCGGGGTCTCTGGTCACTGATAAATCTTTTGTGACCGAAAAGCAAAACTTCTCATAACAGCGTATTGTTCAGGGACAGAAGATCCAAGAAAACAGAATTTTAAAAATTTACTTAAAAATTTAGCCCTTACCTCCCGCCACAGTAAGCTATGGTCTGGGACCACTTTAGCTAAACAAATGTCAAAGAGAAAACTATTCTGCTTAAGGAGAACAGGTGCGTCCGGCAGCCCACGGCCGCGGCAGGAGCTGTTTCTGCAAATGTGCAGACATTGGGCGGCCAGGCCAGGAGGCCAGGGTGGCCGAGGGCGGGGCCTGTGCCCCGGGGCTGTGGACACAGATGCTGGATCTTCAGAAGCAGAATTTCATCTTACCTTGGGATAAGCGGGGACATCGCGTTGAGGTGTCAACTTCTTGTTGTTATCCAAAAAACTGTACTTACAGGGGCAGCTGGTCCTGGGGGTTGGGGGTGGGAGGGGGGAAGCAAAGGTTAGTCTGGCGCCGTCGCTTCAGTCTGGGTGTTCACGTGGGCAGGGACTGTGGGCACCTCCTCAGAGCAAAACAAACTGCAAACCCCATGCCAAGCCCAAAGCAAACCCTACAGACGCCCTTGGTCGTATCTGTTGTGGGAGGATAAGTCATAAAACCAGAGACGTCTCATCACTAACCCCCAGGGCCCCTGCTGGGCCTCCCCAGGTACAGTGGGCTCTTGGAAACATGGGTCTGCATTACAGATAAGCTCCTAAAAACTTTTTAAAATGATGAAAGCAAAGTGCGTTCCTTCCATAAAATTCAACCAACACAGAAGTAAAGTAAAATAAAAAAAAATCGAAGTTCCTACGTCACCCCCTCCTTTCCTCTTAAGTCGAACACCCTGGGAATCCCTGCTGCGGTGTGGGGTATTCTTCCGGAACATCCTAGGCCTGGACACACACGGACAGCCCCGTGCTTTCAAACAAAGGTGGGATTGTACAAACGTCCTCCTCGGCCGCTAGCTGTTTTCACCTAACGCACCACACACCTGCTGGTGTTGCTTCACAGAGCCCAGCCTTGTTAAAAGAAAGCCCTTCTCCGGTGCCCGGGGGTGTGGCCGCACTGCACGCTATCAATCCGGCCCCCAAGACGACTTCAGGATGCCCCCAATTTTCCCATCACGTACGTGCTGACAGGTGGATCTGCTACCTGGCTCGGTCTTCGTCATTACTCAATGTCAAGGTGTCCCACATAAGAACAGAAGGAAAGGAGCCAGGTGTGTTCTGGATAGAAAGCCACCCTCCGGTATCGGGGACAGTGTGCTGGCTCGTGGGGTCGTACCCGGGGCTGGACGTGGAGGGCCACCCCAGGAGATCTGGCCTCTCCGTGGCCCCCTCCCCACCTGGGGACCTTAACTTTCTTGTATGTGAACGTGCTCTCCATCCTCCCGCTGATGGGGAGCACAAGGGGGTGGGGGTGTCTGCACCCCTCTGTCTGAGATTCTCAGGCTGGTGGGCGGGAGCCAGCACATCAACGTGCCGCAGCAGCAGCTTGTGCAGTTTGTGGGAGAGCCATTGACGGTCGTACAGTAAGAGCCATGAAGAAATGCACACCCTTTCAGCTCGAATGTCTACTCTGGGGGATTCACCTTAAGAGAAGAATTAGACACAAGCAAACAGCTCTGTGCACAAAGGCATTCATCGCCGCGTTATCTGTTGGTGTAAAAAACACCGAACCGAACGAGAAGTGACTTAAATGGCCCCAAATGGGAAGTAATTGAAGCCATTTTGGCACAGAGTGATCTTTAAGATAAATGAGGAAGCGATGTGAGGTGAGGAAAGTTTGGGTGAAAAGAGAAGCGTTGCCCGCAGCATGTACTGAACAGGAGTGCGGAAATACTCTCCCAGGCGCGAGCAAACACGCTCACGGTGGGTGGACAGCGAGCCGGCGCTGTGCCCTCTGGAAGAAGGGGTGAGCCACATGTGGGTTAAACCTGACCTATTTCTCTCTCACAATGCTGTGCGTGAAAAAATTAAACATAGTATTTCTTAGTTGTTTTTTCAAAACTAGATGTTTATATGCAAACCCCCCCCCCCAAACAAACAAACAAACAAACAAAAATGCTTATGGGAAATCAGTGTCCGCATGTGAATTGGGGGCCTTGTGGCTGCTGTCATCTTGGCAATTCACCCCCACATCAGGATAGTCTGATGGCTTTACAAGGAGGCTGTGCTGCTTGCAAACTCAGGATAATCAAGCTATTTTCTTTCTGAAAAAGGAGCCCTCGGTACTGTTTTCTTGGCATGCTGCTACTCCTCCCCTCAACTTTACGCTAATAGGAGCAATCAGAGTCGCTGTGACAGCTTCCTGTGTGAAGGGGGTGTAACAAAAGAGTAACAAAGTGAACCAATAGAAGGTCCCAACCACAGGATTTCCATGTCACCCTGCGAAGGAGAAATGCCATTTGCACATTCCTGAGCAGCGCTGAACTTGGTCTGTGCACTTCAGAAAAGAGATAACGTTATCATGACCTTTTTTCTGCTTTTACCCCCTTTTGTATAAATACCCACGCGAATGCCGTGTAGGTGAGTCGTGTGCATTTGCCAGGAGGGCTGTGGCAAGAGGGCTGGACAGCTGGAATCCAGCTGCTTCCTCAAAAATCCCAGCATTGGGTGCCTGGCAACTTGTGCCAGGGCCTCTCCACCTCGCCAGGCGGCCCTGCCTGCTCCCTCTGCACCCAGTTGCCATGGGAACCAGCATCCTCCAGCTGATAGAGCAGCTGGCATGGTGCCTTTCCTTTTCATTCTATTCTGTTTTTCTTTTCATTTCCTGGGCTCTCAGCCTCCACTCCCCTGGGGCTCACACCACTGGTCAAGGCCATTTGTTGGAGATGCAGTTGAGATTACAGACCCCAGAGCCCTCAGATGCCACTCATGTTCCTGCAGCCCTCCCCTGCCCCGAGTCAACCAGCAAGCTCCACCCTGTGGCCTAAATTCCAGCAGGCCACTGGACCTCTTCCCTCGTGGGGGGAAAAAGAGAAACCCCAAGGTGTGTGTCTCCGGGGAGGGCAGCCTATTCTGGGGGTGTCTGTGAGCCTGCCCTGGCTCACAGTAGTGACCTGGCTGCTGTCTGCTGCTCCCCGAGAGGAAAAGGAGGTCTGGTGCGTGCAGACCTGGCCCCGAGGCCCTGTCAGGGGTGCTGTGTGGGTGGACCTGGGTCGGCACTTCAGGCCCATTAGCCTTTGGTTCGTGGGGACAGAGTGGGGCTCGCCCGGCAGGTGCCTTTGTCCTCTCCGCCCCCGCAGGGAGGCAGGGCAGGGTGGACATCATGGGAAGAGCTACTCAGAGGTGCAGTTTCTCCCCCAGCACCGCAGGGGGGTCCCACTTAACAGGCCGGGTCCCAGGGACGCTGAAATGACACCCCTGCTGATAAAAATGGAACCCTGCCGCCAACAGGGACAGGAGAGAGCGCCAGCCACGGCCTGTTCCACTCCTCCGTCTGTTTCCCATAAAGAAAAGGGAAGGCTGTTCTCTCTGGCACAGAAGGGGCTGTGAGCTCCTGGGCCCGGCCTGGGGGGTGGGGGTTGGGGGGTGATGCTGCTGAGGACTGAGCCCAGGACACAGACTCTTTGTTCTAAGTGTGTGGTGACATTTGAGATCCGCCCCCTGCCCCCACCTGTCTTTGACGGAGGAGTCACTTTTACCCCCTCTTGTCTCTCGCCTCTGTGGGCTGCTGTGAAACTGTCTGCTGAGAATATCGCCTTTGGAGCCCAGGACGCTGGACGTCTTCTCTTTGGATTATGGAGCTGTGAGTTCTAGAATGTGCTTCTCTGGGGGGCGGTGCCATACTGGGGTGAGCCCCAGCGCTCACCACACCTCAGCTCAGCCCGCCCTGCCCCAGAGCGGGGCCTGCAGGTGACATCTTGTCTCTGGGCCCCAGGCTGGCTTCCTCTCACGGGCTCTGAAATCAGGTGTATTTTCCCCCTGTGGTGTGTTGTGGGTTGAGTTGTATCCCCCAAAGGTCACATGTTAAAGTCCTAGCTCGGGGGCCTGTGTGCCTTCATTTGGACACAGGGTCGTTACCGATGTGCTCAGCTAACGCGGCCAATGGGAGCAGGGTGGGCTCTAATTCACTAGGACTGGAGTCCTTTTAAAAAGGGAACATTGGACACAGATATACATACAGGGAGGCTGCCATGTGAAGACAGAGACGGGAGTAATGTCACTACAGCTCAGGGAACCCCGAGGATTGCCGGCACGGCCAGGGCTGGGAGAGGCCTGGGACAGAGCCTGCAGGGGAGCGTGGCCGTACTGACACCTTGATACCAGACCTCTGGCCTCTAGAACTACGACAGGATACATTTCTATTGTGTTAAGCCCTCCAGTTTGTGGTATTTTGTTATAGCAGCCACAGGAAGCTCATACAACTCGGACAACATCCTGTTCTTTCTCCTGCAATCTGACCCGCAGGACCGTGCAGGCCAGAAAGCCCACCGTGAGTGGCACACCCTTCCCGTCCCGCCTCGCTTCTACCAAGGGCGGGAGGTGGAGGAACTAGGGTGCTGGGGCGAGACCCGCGAGGCTGGGCTCAGGACCTTCCCTGGCGCTTTGAGCAGGTGGCATTAGGTCATGGGAGAAGGGACAAGAGGCCACAGATGTCTAGTGCTCTGTGGGCTCCGTGGACAAAGCTGTTTGTGGGTGAGTGATGCCCACAGAGGTGGGAAGGAACCAAGGGGGCACCATTCCAGCTCAAGAGACACACCCTCTGGGCAGGGGCTTCTCCCGCCCACTGTACAGACCAGGGGCAGAAGCAGAGCCAAAGACCAGAACTCGAGCTGAGTCCTCTTCCCTCCGATGCTGCTGGGTGACTGAAAAGGCCACCTGTGCTGGACCCATATCCCCTTCCAAGGTGACCTGCTCCACCTGGCCCTGGGCAGAGGGCAGCTGTGCCAGGTGGCACCACACTGGGCGACCGCCCTCTTGCCACAATGGACGTGGCGCTTGGCCATGGCAGCCAGTCTGAGGCCCATCGGAGAGGGGATGGGGCTAAGCATAACCAACAGGGCCTGGGCAATGGGGCACTAGGACTGGCCACAGGATGGAGGTCCGGTGTGTGGCGGCTGGGGCACACGGACAGCCGGAGGGCTAGGCTGAGCCATGGAAGTCCTGAGCCAGGGTGACACCGTGACAAGGGTCAGGTCAGGTCTGAGCGTCCTTTAGCTGCCACACCAGGTCCCAGCCCGAGGGCCCAGCCCTGAGCAACTCCAGGACTGTTACTTGTCACACGGAGGACACCTCCTGTCCCCTAAGGAGCTCCCACTACGGGGTGGCGAGGATGAATTATTCTCCGTTTCCTGTGGTCACAAACTCCTCTGCCCTGACTCCCCAGACCAAATGGGATGAGACACCCTGAAATCCAAAGGAGCTGCCACGTCAGCAGAACATAAAGGTGACCTGGTCCCTGTAGGACACAGGCCAACAGGGCTCTGAGCTGTCAGGCTACTCCCAAGCCCACCCGAGGCCGCCAGCCCCGCCGGACTCTGATGGACTGAGTGCGAAGATCCGGGATCCCTTCACCTCCTGCCCCTGGACGACCCTTTAACACAGCCCCCTCCCCTCTGCTAAGCAGGCTGCACTCAGCGTTTTAAAACAGGGAGAGACTTCCAAACCGTCAGGTGACTCTGTAAGAAGCTGGCGCACGGGCAGGGCTGCCCTTGGGTGCGTTAGTCCCCATGAAATCCCGCCAGGCCCCCCTGGAACCTCCGCAGCATTAGCCGTGTGGTGGCTGGGGGTGCGGCCACGGTATCACCACGCGGTCTCCAGGGTGGGAACTCGGGGCGGGAAGAGAATCCAGCAGAGCAGGCTGGTCCCTGGGAGCAGAGCTCTCCACAGCCCACCCAGTAAGTGCTAAATTCTCGAGCATCTCTGCCCTAAACATGAGCATCTGCTGTGACTACGGTTCCGGGAGAAGGTCCTACTGTACGAAAAACCCACTTTCGAGGGGGCGTAACGAAGACTGGGGTCTTTGCTCACAAATTTCAGCTCCACAGGGGCACGTGGGGATGGACCCCTTGTTCGGCAGGACACGGGACTCTGAGCCCAGGACGGCTGGGGGCCTTTCTCCCTGACCCATCGCTCTGCACAATGGGGACGTCCGCCCAGGAGTGACCTCTGTAGGCCAAGAGCCTTTTCTTCTTATTTGTTCCCGTTCTTAAAAAACTAGAGCTAACTTCTTTCAATCTGGTAAGTTAATCCTAACACTGATCTGGCGGCTTATGCCCCTGGATGCGCACTCAGCCTCCAGCCCCCATGCCAGGAGTGCTCTTTTTTGAGCAGAAAGCGCTGCAGTTGAAGAGCAAATCCCACCAGGAGCAGGGCTGCCTCCAACAGCCAGAGCTGGATCTGGCGCCCCAGCTGTGCTTTTGGGAAAGCGAAGACCAGAGGCTCCCTGCCTTCGCCCATTCAGAGCACCCCGCCCGCTGTTCACCCAGCACCCAGCGCAGACCTTACCTGTTGCTTCTGGCTGCCAGTTCCTCCCTCATCTTTTTAATGTCACTCTTGCATTTCTCAATCTCCACCACTTTCAGTCCTTCCACTGGTGACAAAGAGAAACAAGGAGGTTACCATGGATACACAGAGAGGCTCTCGCAAGGCTGCTCAGTGGGGGCCGCCGCCTGACTCAGCGCAGTGGTTCCCACTCCTGCTCAGGCTGCCGCTGTTCAGGTCGGTCCCGCCGCCTACACCCGGCTCAGCCACAACTGACTCTAAGACTGTAGGCCTATCCCGTGGCCAAGTGTGGGCCGTCCCCTTCATCTGTGGGTTTCTATAGGATGAAGTCCTTCTCTCTGCTCCCTGAATCTTGACTTTTCTTGCACCCACTTCTAGTTTCTCTCTCCAGACCCCTAAGCATGAGTTGAGGACATAGGACAAAGGAGTCTCTTATCCAGAAGAAAAGAAAGTGGGGGGTGGGGGGTACTGCCCCAGGGCATTAAAATGCAATGGGGCTCAATGGGCAAGACCACAGCCTTCCCAGCAAGGGTTCACATTTCATTAAGGTTAAAGCTCTGCACTTAAGGTCCTCCCTGGAGCAGTTCACCAGGAGGGCCGGAAACGGGTGAGAAATGAACAGGCAGCGTTCAGGATGGGCAGGCCTGGGCGGGACGGCATTGCTGGAGTCCCCTGGCAGAGGTGAGCCCGAAAAGCCAGGATGCAGTTTTCATCTAAGAGTGAGCTGGGGCAGCCCAGCCGGCGTGGCTCAGTGGTTGAGTGTTGACCTATGAACTAGGAGGTCAAGGCACATACACGGGTTGCGGGCTTGATCCCTGGTGGGGGGCGTGCAGGAGGCAGCCGATCAGTGATTCTCTCTCATCATTGATGTTTCTCTCTCTCTCTCTCTCTCTCTCTCTCTCTCTCTCTCTCTCTCTCTCTCGCTTTGTCTCTGAAATAAAAAAGTGAGCTGGGGCTTAGGCCTCCAAGCCGGTGTTCAACATCTAGCTGTTCACTCCGGCTTTGAAGAGGCAGGCAGCTTTGAAGAGGCTTTTAGATTAGAGTTGGTTACATGAAATGAAAAGACTTTGTAATCACACCTCAATTTTTATGCAAAACGACGCGGCCACAGACACTCTATTCCCCTTTTCATCAAGAGCAGCTCTGGATGTGGCTAAAAGTCAAGCGCTGTGATTTCCGAGGAAACAAAGGCACTCCGCCTTCGCAGGCCCTCCCACCCCCAGGAAGTGCTGGGCTCTAGAGCACGCGTTGGGGGGCCTCTCCAAGGGCGGCGCCAGGGCAGCCGGGCTGGGACCATCACCTCCCTGGGCAGGCTTTCCAAACATGCCCAGGCTCGGGGGCCAGATGGGGGCAAGGCTGTGTGAAAACACTGCTGCCTTCTGCCCAACGTGACCGGCATCTGGAGGATCTGATACTCAAATCTGGTCCTGGTGCCTTGCTTCTGGGCCACGCCTGGGACTCTCTCCCGCCTCAACCAGGACATGGGACCGAAGTCGGGGGCCTTAAATGCCAGTGGTTGGAACCAGCGAGGTGGCCGGCCGAGGCCAGATGCGCTGCCGTGGGGCAAGTAGGAACCTGGCGTGGGCTGTGTTTCGCTCACTCACTAAGCGCACACACCCTTCCTCGTGGCGCGGGGTGTTCTTGGCTCTTCCTTGCATCACAGGGCCGGTTAGGAAGTCAGTGAAAGCCACGGGACCTCTTCCAAGAAAAGACACATCAGTACACACCCTCACGGTTTGCACTTGGACAGGGGCGCTGTGGGGAGGAGATGAGCCTGCGTGTAGAGCCCGCGGGGGAGCTGCGCCCGGCCAGCCAGGGACCATGGTTACACTCATTATGCTTCAACCATCGTTTTATACAAAATAACAGGTGGTAATTGTGGAAACCAGGAAATACGGAGCATCCCAAAAAATATTTTAAAATCTATCTACGGTCTTACTGGGGCAAAAAACAACCCATTTCATATTAAACATATTGGCATGTACCCTCCCATGCATGTCTCCCCCTCCCCCTCAGCCCCCTTGCATTCTAACTACCTATCTGCTCTTCATTTTAAAAAGACAAACTTAGGACCATGCTACGTGTTCTGTTTTCTCACTTGCTTTTCTCCCATCGTCAATAGCAGCTGCCTCCCAGCATCCACATGGGAGTGGACGCAGATCAGAGTCCCTGGCCATGTACTGGGGGTGATGTTAAAGTTAAGCCTTTTGGGCCACACAGTATAGTATCACCCCTTTGAATCCCACCGATTCATGGCAATTACCTTGACGAAGAAAGAGCCTGGTTGCCACGGAAATGGATAGTGAGTCACAAGATGGCACAAGTCGTGCATTAATCAATGGAAGAGAACATCATCTCAGCCCACCCGCCCCATGCTCGGATTAAAGAGCTGAACGTGGGCTGAGACGGTCACAGAGCGAGAGGCAGGCCAGGCACCAGCAGACCGGGGGCCTGACTCCCAGTCCTTCCCCAGATACCAGGCTGCCTTTGGAAGATTGCACAGCCCGCCTCCTGGACCCCTCCCAGCCCGGCCTGCCCCTGCCTGAGGAGGGAGAAGGCCCCTCGAGGAGCTGGGGCCTCCCCGTGAAGAGTCCTACACAGACTCGGGGGAGACTCCAGTTGAGATTGCACATCAGTTTCATACATGCGGCCCCACTCGTCCATCTCAAACTTTAAACACAGGTGGGCACAGACCAGAAACTCAAACTAAAGCAGAGGTGCCCAGCACCCCCAGCACTCGGCTTATTCTCCCTCACCAGGCCTGGCCGGGCAGGCGGATTCATAGGATGAGCACACCTGGACCCCTGGCGGTCCTCCTGCGGACTGCAGATGTGCTCCGTTGGGAGGTCACAGGCCACTGTGAGAGAGAACCTTTAAGGATGATGTTCTAAGAGGGACCCTGGCTTTGGGGACTCAGCAGGCAGGAGCAGAATGGGACCCGGAGGCAGCTCTGCTCCACGCTGGCCCCTCCCAGAGCTTGTGGAAGCCCGTGTGTGTGTGTGTGTGTGTGTGTGTGTGTGTGTGTGTGTGTGAGAGTGTGTGTGTGTGTGTGTGTATCCCTTCAGCTGCAGAGCTGGTTAAAGCTGTTTAAAGCCATGTGAGCCGTTTCAACACTTCCTCCAAGGACTTTGGTAAAGAATTCACATAAAGCACATTTCCCGACTGACAAGGAGAAAAGCAAGGTTGGTTTCAGCTTCGAGTCTCCTCGATTGTTGGCATGACCCTCGGGGCCGGCTCTCCCTGTGGGTAGGTTTTAGTCCAGGCCCTGGGCACAGGCTGCCCTGCGCCCATCCTCAGGGACCCTGGCACAGGGACCCCCCTGCACAGCGGCCAGTGGCCAGTAAACAAGGAAGGAAGTGAAACCCTTGCGATGCTTCATCGCTGACCAGGAAGTGAGCGAGGACCTGGGTGTCCTGTGTTTACAAAATAATCTCTAAGTGGAGAGGGACCCCAGACTCCTTGAGGAAGGCAAACATTTCACATGAAAAGGGAGAAAAGCTCTTAAAGTGAATTAAGGAAATGGGGAAATTTACATTTGATTCAGAAGAATATGTTTGGAAGGTGAAAAAAAAAAGCAGGAAATTCCATTGAAAACAAGTCAAACAATGTAATGTTGCCTACAGATGGCCGGTGCTGGCTGGCCGCCTGCTCGAGTTCCAGAAGCAGAAAACAGCTCACGATGACCAGAGAAAGTGTGTGTGCACGTGACCATGGTGCGTGGATGGGTGTGTGTCTGTGCATGTTTATACGTGTCTCTGTGTTTACAAGTATGTGCATGCGGGTGGGGGGTTATGCATGTGAGTGCATGTGGGTATGTCTCAGTGTCTTTATATGTGCATGTGTGCATGTGTGCATGTGCGTGTGCGTGTGTGTGTGTGTGTGTGTGTGTGTGTGAGTCTATACCTGGCCTGGGCCCAGTGGAGCGGTGGCAGTCAGTTCCTGGCAGCCTTTCCAGTCCAGCGGCCCAGGCCAGCTTGTCTGGCAGATGGCTGGGTCAGGATTGCCCTTCTGAGTAGCGGGATGACCTTTTCCCCAAGTGATCTGCACGGGAGGTCCAGCTGCAGGACCCCTCTCCTCAAAGGCCTCCCCTTCCCCGTCCTTGGGGTGAGGCACTGCTGTCTCCGGAGGCTCTGTGGAACGCATACCCCCTGGGGATTGGCGCAGGCACAACGTCCCTGCCACTCTGTGCTGGTGCAGAGGCTGCTGGAGGCTGGGAAGGTGGCAGCCAGCAGCACCAGGAGAGGGCCAGTCCAAAGCCAGGTGAAGTTCAAGGAGGTCGAGAGCCCTTCTGAGTCATGGCCACGTTCCTGATGGGAGGCGGGCAGCCAGGAGATGGGGAAGCCGGGGGCTGGTGGGAGCAGAGGCTCCCAAGTGTGGCTGTGGGGGCCCACTGCCAAACCCACAATTCTTAGACCATTTCCCATCTCCCTCCCTACTCCTGAGAGGGTGGCTTCCTCCATCCCGTTCCTGCACCCTGGGTCTTGGTGCTAGAAATTAGCACAGCCAGTAAAAACACCAGTAATTTCGACCTAGGCAGCGAGCCTGAGCTCGGAGGGCGGAGGCGTGATGCCTCTTACAGGCCGTCATGTGAATTTGCAGGGTTTCTGTGGTTTACCCAAGGGCCCTGCAGAGAGATGCCTTCCTGCCAACGAGCAAGCCGGTTCTGGAGAATTCTGGGCCTCAGACAGGCCAGGGAAGAAGGTCCTATGGGCTGCGTCCTTTAATGGTCCTTCATTCACATGGCACTTGAAGGCAAAATAAAAACTCTTCTTGGCCTGATCATCGTCTCAACGGCCAGACGCTGGAAGCCACCCAAGTTGAGGTCAACATAGATCTCTGCAGGGGTTTTCAAAATTCCTTCATGGCCTCTTCGACTTGCCTGTTTGCAAGTGGTGGTGGGCGGTGGGCGCTGGAGCTGGCTTCTGTGTGGGGAGGGGGAGATGGGCGAGGGCAGGAGGAAGTGGGAGGAGCTGGAGGGCAGGAGGCCGAGCAGGCGGCACCGCTGCCCTGGACATTGGCACGCCCGGTGGTGACCGGCTTTCTCCTCCGTCAATGTAGACGGGGACTCAGCAGTGAACGTTCATGTTCTGTGTTCTTTGGCTGAACCCCTTCCCATGTTTGGAAATGCCAAATGCTCACTGCAGTGGCTCACATCCCAACGATGTGCTCACATCCTAAATCCTGGGACATGTGAATGGGACCTTATTTAGAAAAAGGTTCTTGGCAGAGTCCTCCAGGTGAGGTCATCTTGGATTAGGGTGGGTCTTAAATCCAAAGACAGGTGTCTGTGTAAGAGACAGGCAGAGGGGACGTGAGCCACCGAGACACGGGGGAGAGGCCCTGTGAAGATAGTTTGGAGTGATGTGGCCACAAGCCAAGGCTGGCTGGCAGCCACCGGAAGCCAGAAGAGTCCTGGAACAGATTCTTCCTCAGCCTCTAGGAGGAACCGACCCTGAAGACGCCTTGGTTTTGGACTCTGGCCTCCGGAACTGTGGGAGGATTCTCTTTTTGTGGTTTAAGCCTCCCAGTTTGTGGTACTTTGTCACGGCAGCCACAGGAGACCAATGCACGTTGTCTGGCCTCTCTTGCAGCAAGGGTGTGGGCACATGGTCCCCCTCTGTCCAGAATTTGAACCTGTAGCCGGTACTTGGAGAAGCAGCCTGATGTCTGCAGCAGTGCCCATGGGGCAGGTACCATACTTATGCCGTTCTGACACGCAGCTCAGCATCCTCACGGAGTCAGCTATGCTGGGATTCCGGGCACCCTTCTTGCTGCAGAGCCCAGCCCTATTCCTGGGCCCTCCTGGTGACCATGGGAGCTCCCCAAAATCCTTTTATCCTTTTGAAAAAGCCCCTTTTCTCCTGGCTGGTGTGGATCAGTGGTTACAGCGTTGGCCCGAAGACTGCAGGATCTCGGGTTTGATCCTTGGTCAAGGGCATGAACCTGGATTGCAGGTTCAATCCCCGGCCCGGTCAGGGCACGGTGCATGCAGGAGGCAACCAACCGATATGTCTCTCTCACATCAATGTTTCTCTCTCTCCGCCTCCCTCCCTCCCTTCCACTTTCTCTAAAAATATCTTCATATGAGAATTTGAAAGAAAAGAAAGAGAGAACCCCTTTTCTGTTCAACGCAGCCACAACCGGTGGCTGCCGGCAGCCTGCTTCCTAACCTACGTTCTCAGGACCCCCTGTGGGCGCCCGGCCAGGAGTGGAGGAAGGTGACATGTCACAGAAGGGCAGGCAGGCGGCAGGCGGCGAGAGCAGCCCCGCCAGGAGCCTGGTGCTGGTCCCAGGCTTATTTACTTTTCTAATTTGCTGAGCGCATTTGAGCAAATCACTCATCTCTTTGTGGCTCTTCAAAGGGGAAAAATAAAACCGCTCTGAAGCTCCCACGGTGAAAAGGATTTCAAACGTGTCATCGCCCTTGGAGAAGTACGACTGTGCGAATCACGTTTCACGTGACTCAGGCGAATTGGCTTTTACGTGCTCCTCAATTTCCTTTCCCCAAAACACCCAAGCAATTCACGCAAGGTAATGAAAGGTGCCATCCAGCCGAGTCCCGCCAGTATGAATCAGCCAGGCGGTGTCCGGGACGCCGCAACCCGCTGGCTTCAGGTTGGGGTTTGCTTAGTCATCCTCGAGGTGAATAGATAAGGTGCCTTGAATCCCTGCCCTTTGCCTTGACATTGACCTAGAGCCTTCCTTCGTGTTGGGAGTTGGACGGGGCGAGTGGGGCTCCAGCACAGCTCCTTACTCACCGAGGAGGACACACAGACCGCGCGACTTGAGGCTGCTTTCCTCCAGAATTCTAGCCCTGTGGCCACCGGCTCAAGACGGGAACCACCCTCCTTGCTCACCAGCAGGGTTCCTGCTTTCCTTGCGGTGACAGGGATCTGAGAGCTAACGGCAGTGGACACACGCCCCCCAAACTGTGACACCACAGAGTGTGGGTCCGCGTGACCTCCTTTACTTGGAGGAGACCCACAAGGTATTCACAGAAGCTCCTGTCCAGAGAGGCATGCTCCAGGCTTCCTGATCTCACCCTGTGCTCCGCGGGCATGGCAACACGTGACTGTGTACTCGTTACTTTTATTTTTTATTTAATTTTTAAAAATATATTTTATTGATTTTTTTTACAGAAAGGAAGGGAGAGGGATAGAGAGTTAGAAACATCGATCAGCCCTAACCGGTTTGGCTCAGTGGATAGAGCGTCAGCCTGCGGACTCAAGGGTCCCAGGTTCGATTCCAGTCAAGGGCATGTACCTTGGTTGCGGGCACATCCCCAGTAGGGGGTGTGCAGGAGGCAGCTGATCGATGTTTCTCTCTCATTGATGTTTCTAACTCTGTATCCCTCTCCCTTCCTCTCTGTAAAAAATCAATAAAATTATTATTATTTTTTTTAAAAAGAAACATTGATCAGCTGCCTCCTGCACACTCCCCACTGGGGATGTGCCTGCAACCAAGGTACATGCTCTTGACCAGAATGAAGCCTGGGACCCTTCAGTCCGCAGGCCGACGCTCTATCCACTGAGCCAAACCGGTTAGGGCTGTACTTGTTACTTTTAAAACTCGCGGGTTAGTCACTGCTCTAACCTTTGCTAACATAACATTTAGGCATTTCACAGAGAAAAGGCCCCACGCTTCCCTGGACCTCCCTCCCCTGGTTTATGAGGTCAAGTTAAACAGAGGTCAAAGGACACATAAGCGAAAGGAAAACCGAAGCTGCACTCACATTCCACGCGTTTCTCTAGCACTGCCAAGTGATTTGCGACTTCAGCTTTGAGTTCGTTGATTTTAAATGCTCTAGGAATGAAAAAAAAAGCCATAAGCCATACGTTTCTCAGAGTTAAAATGGGCTCAGCAAACAGCTGCTGGATCACGGGCAGGGGGAGGTGTGCGAGTGGGCAGGTGGGGGGGGGGGCACAAAGATGCCAGGAGTTGCTTTTAAGGAAGTAGCACTGTCGGGGGTGCAGGGGAGGAAAGAGAGACGCTCTCAGACTCTCTGGAGGTGTATTTCCCAAGTGGGACCACAGCGGCTTCCTGCCAGTGGGGATGTTTCCTTCCATGCATGGGAGTGCGCCCGTGCCCCGAGGGGCGCTCTGCTCTCAGCTGGATGCCCCCTCTCTCCCGGGCACACACCACTTCAGGGCACTGAGTGCCCTCTCCAGGCTCCAACCCAGTCAATAAGACAATTCTTGGGCTTCAAGAAAGTACCACCCAGCCCAGCCAGAGTGGCTGAGTGGTTGAGCGTGGATCTATGAACCAGAAGGTCACTGGTTCGATTCCTGGTCTGGTCGGGGCACAGGCCCAGGTTTCGGGCTCGATCCCCAGCAGGGGGAATGCAGGAGGCAGCAGATCGATGATTCTCATTATTGATGTTTCTCTCTCTCCCTCTCTGAAATCAATAAAAATATATTAAAAAAAAAAGAGACTACCACCCATATGGCCTCTCCCCATTTGAACTCCCCTGGGTGGTGAGATACCACAGTGACCAGAACGGGAGGACATCCCAGAATGAAACAGTCGGTAATATTTTTATTACTGATTTCAGAAAGGAAGGGAGAAGGAGAGAGAGAGAGAGAAACATCAATGATGAGAAAGAATCATTGATCAGCTGCCTCCTGCACGCCCCCTACTGGGGATCGAGCCCACAACCCGGGCATGTGCCCTTGACCAGAATCAACCCAGGACCCTTCAGTCCACAGGCTGATGCTCTATCCACTGAGCAACCAGCTAGGGCAGAAGGCCCATGTTAAAAATGGTCTCAGTGCTTGTAGCCGGAACTCCGAGTCCCAGTAGAGCCCGTCAAGAAAAATCTCGGCAATACGGGCCCTCATTCTAACAGCGCCCACCTCACACGGTCTGGGTCATAAGGTCTTTGCTGTAAGTGTTTCCTGGACCCCACCCCATGGGCTGAGTACAGAAGTCGCTGCTCTGTGAAGGCAGCTCCTCCAGGCAGGAGTCTGCGGCCGAGCCGGGCTCCCCCCGCCGCCGAGAACACGCACACGGCTCCGGAGGACACGGCTCTGAAGTCTGTACCTTGAGAACTGCTCTGCCACCTGGGTCAGCACGCTCTGGATTAACTCTTCTTTCTCTGCAGAGCGAAAAAGAAAGACAGATGGAAAAAGGAAAGGGGTGCGGGCCTGACACACCTGCTCTGGGCACCTGGCACCGATGCCGCGGCGAGGAGCTGTCCGCCTTACCTGGATGGAAGGTTTGACACCCGTTAGCACCCCAGGACCTCTCTGTCCACCTCCAAATGCTCTTTCCCCCTGGACTGCTCCAGGCTACTAACCTGCCTTTTAATGCCTCTCAGCAGAGGGGCCCTCCCATCCCAGGAACCGGCTATAAAAGCAGGCGGGACTGGGTCTCTGACTAGGGGATGTTTTCACAGAGTTCCCTGGTTCATTTTTATGAGGGCAATTACCATGACAGAGCGGGTTCAAGGCATATTTCAAGTGCAAAACACGGTGTTCTCTTCTGGGGCAGGTCCCGAGAGCGGAAGCAGGCGAAACCTGTCCCTTTGTTGCCTGGCACGCAAAACAGGCTGGGCGGCTGGATTACAAGGCCCAGGCCCAGGCTGAACTTGACCTGCCTGGTTTCCTGTTTCCTGCCTGGCCCATGCTGGGTACCTCGCGGGAAGGTGTAGATGCCCACAGACCTGTCTCTCCCAGCAGTCTATGCTCGTGGACGGGGAGCGATCGCTTCTTGGCTGCAGCTGCCCATCAGTTCACGCCCCTAAACACTGAGAGCCTACGCAAGGCTTAGTGAGACTCTGCGCCTAACCCTTCACTAAAATCAAAAGAATCCTGCCAAGCAAACAAAAAATCCCAATAATCGCCCGGCTGGCATGGCTCAGTGGTTGAGCTCCAACCTATGAACCAGGAGGTCACGGTTTGATTCCTAGTCAGGGCACATGCCGGGGTTGCGGGCTTGATCCCCGGTAGGGGGCGTGCAGGAGGCAGCCGATCCATGATTCTCTCTCATCATGGATGTTTCTCTCTGCCTCTCCCTCTCCCTTCTTCTCTAAAAAAACCTAAAAAACATCCCAATAATCCAATTGGGCAATGGGGTTCCGAAGCTGGAAATGCTCAGATGCTCTGACCTAGTGTCTCCATTTCTAGGAAATACTCATGTCTGTGCACAGAGCTGGCCGCCAGTGCTATTTCACATGGTGAAAGCTGTAACCGCCTGTATGTCTATCAAATACTCATGTCTGTGCACAGAGCTGGCTGCCAGTGCTATTTCACATGGTGAAAGCTGTAACCGCCTATATGTCTATCGAATGGACATTAAATAAATGATGACACATCCATACTCTGGGATCCTATTCTGTTATTAGAAATAATATCTTGGAAAATGTTCATGTCTATTGTTAAAGCAAAAAAAAAAAGGATTGTAAAACAGTATGATCCCATATTTGGAGACATTGGGAGGATACAGTTTGAAATAATAATGATAGTTATTTTTTGGTTGTAAGACTTTATGTAAATTTTATTTTCTTATTTTTGCTTCTCTGTATCTTATACATTTAGGTAATATGCATGTTTATTTCATTTAAAAAATTAAAAAAACTAATCAATCTAAATTAACCTAATGAAAGGGTAGACCAAGAGACCAAAGGTTCCCTCTGGTGTAAGTATTCTATGTCTTGATGCGAAGAAGAAAAATGACGTTTTGTTATGTTTCTGGAAACTATAAGAGTGAAAATGTCAACCAGGAAACTTTCATAGAGCTGTGTGTTGAGCTGCTGCCCGATCCAAGGCCCTACACTTCTGGGGGGCTCACACCCACCAGGGGACAAAATTGGCGGCTCCATCGATGGGAACCACCAGTGCGAAGGCTTCACAGGCCTCCTTGGTGAATCAGCAGGACTGCCGATCACTTATCCTGAAATCTTTGGCAAAAGTAATATATCACTCACATAACCTCCAAGAGTTAATGATCTCAAAGTCTTGAGATAAATTTAGAAGGCCATCAAACAATTGACATTTATAGACGGCTCCACCTAACAGTAGTGGGACATGCGTTCTTTTCAGGTGCCTACCAAGATAGACCACATCCTGGACCGTAAGGAAAACCTCAACAAACGTAAAAGAACGAACACCACAGAGCGTATGTTCTCTGGCCACAAGAGAATCAAGCTAGAAACCAGGAACAGAAATATAGCGGGGAAGCCTCTAAACACTTGGAAACCAAACAGCACACATCTAAGCAACCCATGGACCAAAGAGGAAGTCTCTGGAGAAATTTAAAAAGGCATCAAACCAAATGAAAATGAAAATACAGCACAGCGAAAGGTAGCTGTGAGACATAGCGAGGGCAATGCGGAGAGGACATTTATAGCACCCAATGCTTACATTAGAAGAGAGGAAAAGTCTCCAAAAAAAGCAAAGCAAAATAAATCCACAACAATAGCAGAAGGAAGGAAGGAAATAATAAAGAGCAGAAATCGATTAGATGGAAACCGGAAAAACAGTGTAGAACATCAATGAACGGAAGAGCTGGTTATTTAAAAATATCAGTAAACTGACCAACTTTGAGGAAGACGGACAGAGACACACAGAGAAGACATAGATCACCAAAATCAGAACAAGAAAGGAAAGATCACTCCAGACCCTCCAGGCATCAGAAGGATTAGGAGGGAACACTACAAACAACTTCATATGCACACATTTGACACCTCAGGTGGCAATGGACCAATTCCTAGAAAAGCATGAACCACCACACTCATCCAACATGAAACAGGTAATCTGAACAGCCAGTCACTATTGAGGAATTTAAATTTCTAATTGAAACCGAGAATTTCACCAAACATTTGAAGAAGAATTAAGACAAATCTAAACAACTTCTTCCAGAAAACAGAAAAGGAGGGAACTCTTCCAGAAAACAGAAAAGGAGGGAACACGTCCGGATTCATTTTATGAAGCTAGTATTAACTTGATACCAAATCCAGACAAAGACAACCAAAAAAGATAATACAGACCAATATCCTTCATGAATACCAATGTAAAAGCCCTTTAACTAGCAAATAGAATTCAGCAATATATAAAAACAATTATACATCGAGATCAAGCAGAGTTTATTTCAGGGATGCAAGCCTGGTTTAATATTTTAAAAAATCAATGTAATCAACTATATTAACAGGCTAAAGAAGAAAAAATTATACGATCCTATCAATTCATAAAAAGCACTTGAAGAAATTCAACATCTGTTCATGATAAAACCCTCAGGAAAACAGAAAAAGAGGGGAACTTCTTCAAGTTGATAAAAAAAATCTGCAAGAAACCTATAGCTAACACCATACTTAATGGCGAAAGACCGAATGCTTTTTCCTGAGGTTGTGACAAAGCAAGGATGTCTCTCACTGCTCTCGCTCAGCACAGTGCTGGCAGTGCCAGCTGGCGCAACAAGGCAAGACAAGGAAGTAAAAGGCATGCATATCAGAGAGGAAGAAATATAACCGTCCCTGTTTGCTGATGACATAATTGTCTACATAGAAAATTCCACGGGATCTATAAAAAACCCTCTTAGGACTAACAAGTGAGTTCAGCAAGGTCACAGGATACAAGATATACACACGCAATCAGTTGTATTTACATATATGACCAATGACCACATACACACTGAAATGAAACCACAAGGCCACTTACGAACACTTCAAGAACCTTAGGTGCAAGTATAACAAAGCATATGCAGAAGATGTATGCTGGAAACCACAAAATATCCAGGAAAGAAATCACAGAAGATATAAATAAATGAGACCTACCTGGAAGCTTCAACATAGTAAAGATGTCAATTCTCCCCAAATTGACAGACAGGTTTAACACAATTTCTATCAAAACCTCAGCAGGATTTTATTTTTGTAGAAATAGACAAGATTTTCTAACATTTATATGGAAATAAAAAGGAACTAGAATAGCTAAAACAATTTAGAAAAAGGAGATAAAACGAGAGGAATTGCCAATCTAATTTTAGGACCTAATATACAGCTACAATAATCAAGACGGTGTAATACGTATTGGGAAAGATACTGAGGGACAGGCACAGAGGTCAATGGAGCAGAACAGATAACCCAGAATCATATCCACACAAATATGCACAATTGATTTTGATGGGTGTCACAATGGAAGGGACTTGGGTGTGGCTCTAAGAGGGGAGTGTGAGGGACCCTGTGGGTTGGGACATACTGTGTCTGGACTGTGTCAATGTCAACAGCTCGATTGTGGTATCTCACTGTAGCTTGCAAAGATGTGATCATTGTGGGAAAACAGTAAAGGTTACATGGGCTGTGTTCGTATTTTTTCTTACTGTGTGCATCTTTAATTATGCTAAAACGAGAGGCCTGGGGCACGAATTCATGCACCAGTAGGGTCCCTTGGCCTGGCCTGCGGGATCAGGCTGAAACTGGCTCTTTGACATCCCTCGAGGAGTCCCAGATTTCGAGAGTGTGCAGGCCAGGCTGAAGGACCCCACTAGTATATGATCAGGGCCGGGGAGAGACGCCGGAGGTTGGCCAGCTGGGGAGGGACCGTTGAAGTGCTCCAGGGCGTGTCCAGCCCTTCTCGCTCAGTCCCTATCGGCTGGACCCCAGCAGCTAGCTAACCTACCGGTCAGAGCATCTGCCCCCTGGTGGTCAGTGCACGTCATAGCGACTAGTCGACCGGTTGACTGTCCCGTGATGGTCAGTGCACATCATAGCGAGCGGTTGAGCAGCTTTAGCATATCATTAGCATATTACGCTTTGACTGGTTGAACAGCCAACAAGATGACCGGACACTTAGCATATTAGGCTTTTATTATATAGGATAAAAAGTTTAATGGAGGAAAGAGTCTTTTCAACAGGCGGTGCTGAAGCAATTGAACACTCACCGGCAGAAAAATGAGCCTCGATCTAACCCTCAACACAGTTTATCTAAAAATTAATGCAAAATGGACCACAGATAAAAAATATAAAACTTGAACATTTTAGAAAAAAAATAGGAGAAAATCTTCAGGATCTTGGGCTATGCAGGGAATTCTTAGATTCAACACCAAAACCACAGTCCATACAAGGAAAAATGGATAAACTGGATTTCATCATCATAGAAACTT